AACAGATTTCGTTCGAACTCTCCCCCATGGTCGCTTCTTATGGCTACTATGGTTGTTTCTTTTTCATTTTGAACTTTCTTTAGAAAATTTTTGAAAACATGAAATGCTTCACTTTTATGAGTAAGAAACAAGGTCCATGTAAACCTAGAGTAGTCATCGACAATCACAAACGCAAAGTAATTGCCACCAAAGCTTTTCGTTCTAGAGGGACCAAAGAGATCCATGTGCAAAAGTTGAAGCGGTCTAGACGTTGAAACAACATTCTTAGACTTAAACGAAGCCCGAACTTGCTTCCCCTTTTGATATGCATCACATATGGCGTCTTTTTCAAACTTAAGTTTCGGAATGCCAATTACTAAGTCTTGTGAAACCAATTTGTTCAAAAGGTTCATGTTCATATGAGCTACCCTTCGGTGCCATAACCAAGTGTCTTCCTCTTTACTCATGAGGCACTTAGCAAAGCCAGAAGGAGATTCGTCTAAGTTAACCATATAAATGTTATCGATTCTATCACCACGTAGAATGACCTTATTATCACTAAGGCGTTCTACTGTGCACGATTTTGAATCGAAGGTCACACGGTTTCCCTTGTCACATAATTGACTTATGCTCAAGAGATTGTGTTTAAGACCTTTAACAAGCAAGACACTATCTATCGAGGAGTTTTCAGATTTACCTACTGAACCAACGCCGATAATTCTTCCCTTGCTATTGTCTCCAAAAACTATGTTTCCTTCTTTAGCGGGTTTGATTTGGAGAAACTTGGATGCATCCCCGGTCATGTGCTTGGAGCATCCGCTATCAAGGTACCAAAGTACACTTGATGCCTTCAAGCACACCTATAGACACATCAATAAGTTTTAGGTACCCAATTTACGTTGGGTCCTCGGGTGTTAGGTGTGTGATGGTGGTGTGCTTGATTTTGTGACAGGTGCCTATGCCTAGTGTAACAAACGGGAGCAATATGGCCTAACCTATTACAATAATGGCAAACTACATTGGGGTTGTACATGTGCCTAGGTTCATAATAGTTAGAAGGTTTAACCATTTTGTTCCTATTTTGTGAAAATGATGGTTTTTGGAAATTTTGAAACTGGCCTCTTCCAGGTGTTCTAGCATTATTTCTTCTTATTTGAGAAAATTCATTTTTATGCACAAAATCATTTTTCTTAGGTTGTCTACCATGACCGTTTTCATTCCTAGGTTTTAGTCTAGGTTGTCTAGTGTCCTTAGGTTGACTAGATTTTCTATTATCTTGATTTTTAGGTTTCTTATGTTGAACCTTAGATGATTGTCTAGGTGGTGGCTCAACATTATCTTTAGCTTTATTTTTATCAAAACCTATTCCTTCCTTAGAAAAATGCATAGTGTCCAGAAGTAAATTTAAGTCTTTATGAGGAGTATTAAATTTCTTGACCGTGCTCTCAAGTTTAGCGACTTGCTCTTTTAAAGCTTTGCAAGACCCACATTCACTTGATGAGCTTTCTGGTTTGTCAGCGCTTCTTTTTCCAAAAAATTTGTTTTCTTGTTTAAGTGTTTCATTTTCTTTTTCCAATTTTTCAAAATCGTTTTCAAGTAAAGAAAGTCGTTTCTTCAAAGATTTATTTGTTTTAGAAGCGCTAACAAATTCCTCATAGAGTTCATGAAGTGCTTCTTGCATTTCTTCAAAAGTATAAGAGTCGGAAGAAATGTTACATACCTCTTGGACGTCGTCGCTTTGATCTTCGTGTGCCATGAGGCAGAGATTTGCAGCTTCGTCCTCCTCTTGGTCGGTTGATTCGTCGCCGGAATCGCCACCCCAAGAGATGTAGGCCCTTTGCTTCTTGAAGCCAGGCTTGTCCTTGCCGTGTTTGGCCTTTGGACACCTTGGCTTGATGTGGCCAATCTCGCCACAGCCGTAGCATTTGGGAGGACCGTCGTGCTTCCTTCCCTTTCGCTCAAATTCCTTCTTCATGAACTTGTGGAACTTTTTGATGACGAGCCCGAATTCATTGTCGTCATCGCTTGAAGCCTCTTCCACCGGTTCCTTGGTGGCTTT